GTGGACACTGACATTTGTGTCTTCCACAGGGTATGGACTCTGTGGGGCAGGAAGTTCTCTCCCCAGCACCTGGATCCCAAGTTCATGAGGGCCGGAGTGTGCCGGGAGATCAGTGCGACGCAGGCGCTTCTGGCTGCTACGGGACTGATGAGAAGACAGCGGTGTGGCTGGGGAACATCTGTGCCAGCTGTGGGTTTGGATGCCACCTGCCAGTGTGAGATTCAGACCCCAGACACTGAGGCCTGTTCCCAGGGCAGGTGCAGCCCAGACCATGGGCCCAGTCTCTGTTGCTGGTTTTCAAATGTCCCCCAGTCTCCCACGCACAGGTTATTGGACCACAGGGTCCCCATGCCCGGCAGTGGATTACACCATTGATGAGTCATAGTTGAATGTGCTGTTAGAATGTGGGCCCTGGTTGCGGGCAGGTGTCTGGATGGTGACCTGCAAAGGTGTGTTCTTTGGGGATGTAGCTCAGCGGCATAAGCACCTGCCTGGCAAACACAAGGTCCTGAGTTTGATTCCTGGTACCAAAGGTGCATTCTTGCCCTGGTTCCTCCCTCATCTCTGCTTCCTGGCTGCTGTGGGGTGAGCAACTTTCCTCTGCCAGGCCATTTCACCATGCTGTCTCTGCCTTGGAGCCAGCTAGCCGTGGACTGAGCCCTCTGAAACGTGAGCCAAATGAACCTCCCCTCTCTTGGGTGGATGTCAGGTATTATGTCCCAGTGGTGGAAAAGCTACTACAAAGAATTGGTGCCAGAAATGGGACCGTTCTGTACCTGAACCTGGTCACGTGGTTCAGAAGCCTTTGGAACCAGTTTGTGGGAGGCGTTTGGAAAGGTTTGAAGATGCCGGCTGTTGCAGCTCTAGAATGCTGAAACAAAGCCTGACGGATGGTTCTGGTCAGGGCTCAGAGGACCAGAATGCTGACAGGAATTTGGACAGTAAAGACCAGGCTCAGGAGGTTGTAGTTGGGCCCAAGGAGTCTATGGTAGCTGAAAGGATTAACATTAAAAAGATTGCATCAGGACAATAGGTTTGAAGGCATCTCAAGAACTGGTCAGTTCCCTCTCATGGCAGGCTCAAGGGTATAAAAGGGTAAACATTTTGAAAGACTTTGTTTGGAAGGGAGAGCCCAAGAGTGCCCTGCTCATTCAGGGTCACCCAGGGGAACGTTTCCTGAGTTCAGCCATCCAAGCGCTCAGAGGTCATTGCATCCATGGTCCAAGGTCTGGCAACTGCTCAAACCACACGGTGCTGGCTTTGCAGGAGTGCAGACTGTAAGAGTTATGGGGTTGGGGAGGCTTCCACCCAGATTTCAGAGAAAGGCTTGGGAGACCAGGCAAAAATGTGTGACAGGGTCACAGCCCCCGCCAGGAGCCCCAGAGAGGGTGGTGCTTGAAGCTCTGAGAGTGAAGCCAAAGGTACAGTGGAGACCCCCAGGAGGCAGTGAGCAAAGCCAGCCCGAGAGAGAGGTTATTTAGGCTAACCAACCATACCATGGGGGCAGGGCTGCCAGACCTGCCGCAGCTCACAGCCCACAACCTGCTCCAGACCCAGGACTCGGAGCTACAGGATTTAATGTTTACCCTGCTGGTTTTGTTTTGGTCCCATTCCTTTCTAATCCCATGTTATTCCCTTTTAGGCTGGGGATGTTCACCTTTGCATGTCTTTTTATTTGTACAGGGATTCATAGCTAAGTGTTTGCCTTGCATCTCAGAGAAGACTTTGGACTTGAGATTTTTGTTTTGTTTTGTTTTTTTTCTGGTACCGGGAACCGAACTGACAACCTTGCGCGTGCCAGGCAGGCGCTGTGCCGCTGAGCTAAATCCACAGCCCCCTGGACTTGGGCTTTTAGCAATGCTAGAAACGTTAGGACTTTGTGACTCTTAAGAGATGGACTAAGAGCATTTTGGATAGTGCCATGGAGAAGAGTTATGGGGGCCAGAGATGGAATGTTGTGATTTAGATTTAAAATGTCCCTCAAAATCTTATGCACTTGGAAGGTGATTGGGCCATGGGGTGCCTGACTGACCAGTGGATCAGAGGTGGGAAGGTCCCCTCTCAAGCCCCAGGAGCTAGGAAAGAGGGGCAGGACACCCACCAGAGCCCCAGGCGGTGGCTGAGGAAGGCAGTGCACGGCCTCGGGCACACCTCGCCCTTGGGCTTGTGGCCTCCAAAGGCGAAGGCGAATTCTCCGTGGTTCCAGCCCCTCACAAGGGGCCCTTCACGCTCCAGGGCGTGTGCAGAGGCAGCAGAGCACGATGTGCCTGTCGGGGCCAGCGGGGTCCGAGGGCAGGGCGGGTGCCACACACCAGTTGCAACGTGCCCGTGTGATGTTGGCAGAGTTAGCAGGTTTGGGGGCCAGGGAGGGGTCGCAGGGGCGGGAAGGTCCTCGGGAGCTGTGGCAGGGAGGGGACGTCTGTCCCTGTCAGCCTGGGAGCAGCTCAGGGTGGGCGCTGCTCCGGGCAGGCGCTGTTGCACTGACACTTGCTCTTCTGCCCCCGCTCAGGCCACCAGTGGCAGCAAATAATTCTTATTTTTTCCATTAACAGAGCGGAAGCGTGAAGTAAATCTAATCCATAAATAACCCTCCCAGGAGCGGAGCGGTGCCGGCCCCGAGGCGGGTCCCACGCCTGCGTCTTGGGGTGCTTCTCTGTCTGGGCTAAGGGGATGCGGCCCTGTCCCCGGGCCAGTCTCGTCGGTTGGGTGGGCAGGAGAGAGTTTGAAGGGATGGATGGCTGCGGGGTGGCCAGGCGCAGTGGCTGGGGAGGCAGGCGGGACAGAGATCTTAGCACCATCTTGAAAGCCTCGAATCGTGACCGTGGGGTGGGTGCAGCCAGAGCGCAGCGGTGGAGAGCCGCCCGCACCGTCCCCCTCCTGTCTGCGCCAAGGGTGCTGAACGCTGGTGACCGCCGGGACGTGCATCTGCGTGGACTGGACACCCGGCTCCTCAGGCCCACGGGTGGCGCGCAGGGCCCCCGGGGGCAGGGACAGAGGGGGTCCCTGGCCAGAGCCTCCTGGCACCCAGCGCCTGAGAGGAGCTGCTAGAAGCACTGTCTGCCTCACTGGGAGGCCAGGCGAGGCGCCGAGGGGCTGTCCCCAGGCAACACAATCTGTCACTGCGGGCCGCCCTCCGCTTCCTCCAGGCCAGGAACGCTGCGTTATTTCCTGCAAGGGGTCAGACGGGAGCGACGCTCAGCCTTGCAGGCGGGGGAGGCTGGGCTCTGCTACTGTGGGAGCACGGTGGGCGTGGCAGCTGTGTGCCGATACAATTTTACCAAAACGAGGCCAAGGGCTCGCTGGCACACGCGGGCTGCAGGCTGTGGGGTACTGCCCTTGGGGACTCAGAACTGAACCCCACTTACCCACAGCTGAGGGTCTCAGCGGTGCTGCCCAGGCGCCTTGAGCGCTTCAGCTGCGCCCCAGGCCTCCCTGACCTCTCCGGTGGGTCCCGCGTCCCCCACTTGCCCTCCATCTCTGTCCCTTGGTGTCCTTCGGGACACACGTCAGAGCTGTGCTTCTGGCGGTCCCCGTCTTCCTCAGCCACTACCCCTGGCCCTGCACATGGCAGGCAGCGAAGGCCCCACCCGAGCGCTCTGGTTTTACCGTGATGTTTCTGAGCACTGCGGAGACGCAGGGCCGCGTGGCCCTGTGGAGACCCGGCGTGGCGCCCGGCCCACCTCGAGCCGAAGCCGTGAGCAGGCTCAGGCTTCGGGGGGTGCAGCGGCTGCATCCGTCCATCTCTGGGCAGAGTGAGCGACCAGCCTCTTGGGGAAGCACCGAGATTCCGGGTTCCGGGCCACCGGCTCTTCCCTCCCAAGCCCCCAGCACTGCCCCTGGCCTGGCCCCAGCGAGCCAGAACATGCTCCCGCCGCTCCTTACAGAAGACAAAACCGAGTCTCCTTCTTGGACTCAAGAACTGGGGCGAAGCAGGCCGTCGCTGAGCACGGAAATCTCTGCTCGGGACGTGGCCACAAGCAGGGCAGGCAGAGCGGAAGCCGAGGCCCAGGATGGCCGCACTCCCGACTGGAGCTCTGTGGCCACTGGCTGCCGCCAGGCTCCTCCTCGCGTCCCGCCCCGCCCCACCTGGATGCAGGCGCCACAGGGCCGCTCGTGGTCCTCTCCCCACCTGGGCAGCGCCCGCACGCGGCCTGCTCAGCTCTCCATACCTGGTGCCCGCTGACAGCCGCTGGGCACCTTCCGTGCTGCTGACGTCACATGGCCGGCCCACGAGTCCTTTCTAGCCCTCCCTCGGCCGGTTCTGCCGGCAAGTCTCACCAGCTTGCCTCAAGGTACACCTGGGTCTGCCACTCATCACCCCTCCAGTCCAGCCCAGCCGCCGGCCGATCCCTGGCTTCCACCCTCACCCCAGCCCGGCCACCCCACTGCAGGCAGGGGGCGCTGCAAGCACCGAGCCTCCCCGCCCCTCCGCCCTCAGCCCTCCACGGCTCGCACCCGCCTGGGCCGAAGCCCATGTCCTCGTGCAGTCCACAGGGCCCTGAAGGGCCGCCGTCCCCTGCCCGCCTCCCCTGCACCCACCACACCAGGTTCCCCACTACTCCTGAACCAAGCCCGGCTCCTCCCACACCCCTTGCAGGGCTCCCTGTTAGAGCCGCAGCGGTCGCCCCAGGAGCACCTGTTCACACCGCCAGGCCCTCCTCCGCTGAGCTCGGGGCCTGCTTCTCCTGAGTCCTGAGAGCCGGCTGCGGAGCAGGTGTGCAGTGGACACCGGGGTCCCGGCCTCACTCCAGGGCTCGGAGCCCGAACCAGAAGAGGACGGGATGGGGTGGGCAGCGGCTGGGCCAGGACAAGCATGGGGGCCAGGCCAGCGCCTCGGGAAGTGGGCTGCTGCGTGTGGACCCGGCCGGAGGCAGCCCCGCTCAGGACCGAGCTTTCTCTACCGCTGCAGGACCCCTCCGGGGAGCCACCTCTGTCCCCTCCTGGACCCGAGGTCTCCCCCACGGGCGGAAGGAAATGAAGACGCTTGCAACGACACCGCGGAAGGTTGAAGTGCTCATGAGCCTTTAATTTATCATGGACCTCGAGGCAGGAACGTTAGGCAAAAATACAGCGCGTCCATTCACCCATCCGTCTGTCACCTCAGGCGGGGACGGGAACTGTTCCCAGTCAGGGCACAGCTGGGTCTTGCGGGGAAGGTACGTCACCCGCCTGCCGCCCAGGCACCGCCCGCCTTTTCCTTCTCTTTACAATATAAATAGCGTTTCCAGACTACACGTGGGTACAGTGCCGCACCGTGCGGCAGCAGCTGCATGCAGAGGGCCTGGGCTAGGCTGGCGCCCACGCAGCCCGGGACCCCCCAGCTCCCGGGCGCCGCCTGGTCTGCAGTCCCTCCGCCCGGCGGCCGCCAGACACACTGTGAGCCTCTTCTCCTCGCACAAGCAGGCGACCTCCGGTCCTGGGGGAAGGTGTGCAGGGGCCGTGGGCGGCCAAGGGTGGGGCGCCATCCTCGGGAGGCCTTGGCCTGGCTCTCCGGGGCACGCCTCGGCGCCACTTTCCCGGCAACTCGGCAGCGCCATCCCTGCAGGCCAGGGCCGGGGCTCCCGCGGCGACGACACGGGTGGGGCAGAGGCTCCAGGACACCAGGCCTTGTATGCGTCTGGCGCAGGCAGACCCGGGCCACCGTGAGGACCTGGCCCGGCTGTGTCCCCATCCTCCCGGGCTCCTCACTCCCGGGACCCAGATGCCACCACGTGACAGGGCAGAGGAGCCCTGGCCATGCACGCGGACCCCCGTCGCCTGCCTCGGCTGGGGAGCGACTCTCGGGAAGAACAGAAACAGAGCAAAGCAGGGAGGCACCGTTTATCTGCGAAGGTCTGCGCAGGCCAGGGGTGGCTCTGGGACTCTGGGGACAGCGTGGCGGCGGCGTGGGGACGGAGGGGCACCCGCACTGCCGGGCAGGCAGGAGCTGCGGACAGCGAGATGGCCATGGCCGTCACCCGGCACCCTGCCCCGCTGGTCCCTGCAGGTGGCCGGGTCACTAGGACAGGCGGCGCGGCGCTGCCCTCCGCCCGCTCAGCGGCCGATGGGGTCTTAAACAACAAACACGCAGTGACGCGGGGACCGCTCAGCCCCCGCCTCGGGGCTGCAGAAAGGAACGCATTGGTTTTAAAGCCACAAATCTAGAAAAAAAAACAACTTTGGGGCTTCTGCCTGTTCTTTGTTTCCCATTTTTCTTAATTTTTTTAAACAATACGTATTTATAGAAAGAACTTCACAAAGGCGGCTATGTACACAGTCCCACCCTGAGGCTGCGGGCGGGTGGCAGGGCGGTAGCACCTTTAGGAGGAGGGCAGGGCCGAGGGGCTGAATCTGAGGGGTGCGGGCGGTGGGCCTAGGGCCCTGCTCCCTGAGTCCAGGCTGCGCTGTCCCTTGCTCCTGCCCCCTGGGCAGGGGGCGCCCGCGGCGCAAGGTGGCCTCGGCCCAGGAGACCTGATGGCGCTGCCCCATGGGGCTGAGGGTGGCCAGCGGCCGCGTCCTAGAAGGGGGCCCCAGGCCGGGCCTGCGCGTGCAGGAGGCGCTCCCCGAAAGCAAGGTAGTCTGGGCTGTGCCCTGAGTCCTCGGCGGCAGGGCCAGCGGCGAGTGGGACGCCCACCCGCGGACGCTTGGCGGCCTTCACCTCCTCGCCCGGGAAGGGGGCCTCCTGCGGCGCCCCTGTGCTCAGTGACTGCGGAGACCAAAGGGCGTGTGGTCAGCGCGGTGTGGCTCCTCGAAGGCAAGCTGGCTCCAGCCTGCGGGTGGCAGGCCACACGGGGCCCCGAGGCAGGCGGCCTGGCAGACACCACAGCAGCCGGTCTGTGGCTCTTCCGCTGCCGGCCTTCTGGAGGAGCCACGTCCCACCCCGCGGTGCTGCGCACGCCGGCAAGCCTTGCCAGGACCCAGCCTATGCTGTCCCTCTTATTAGGGATGAGCCAGGTGGGCAGGGGAGCAGCCTTCCAGCCTGGCAGCAGACCCAGGAGAGACGGTGACACTGTCTGAGGAAGTCACGTCCCACCCAGGAAAAGGGGCGACACTCACCAGCCGGGACCGCACCCTCTTGGGCAGCTCCTCCTCCAGGGTGAAGATGTCACTGCGCTTCACCGTCAGCTGGGACCCGTCCTCAAACTCCACCTGCCAGGGGACACAGCTCTCAGCTCGCTTCTGAGCCCCAAGGCCTCTCTGCTTAAACTTGGCAGTGACAACAGGTGACAGACACCAGACACCCGAGGACAGCTGCGGGAAGGAGCAGGGACAGCCAGGCCAGGGGGAGGGGGCAAGGCAGCCACTCGGTGGAGGGAACCCCTGCAGGCGCCGAGGCGGCGCCAGGCTGTGCGCCCGAGGCCCGGCTGGTGGAGCAGCGGGCACCGTGCGTCGGTTTGAGGCAGCGTCCTCGGCCTTCTGAGCTGGCCACGCTTCCCCTCACCACTGGGGGAAGCCACAGGGCCACAGACCTGGCCCGGGCTGCCCACAGTGGCCCTGCACAGAAGAGCGGAGCTCGGTGATGGGCAGGGTCCCAAAGGCCCAGCGTGCCAGGATCCTGTCCACCTTGCCCAACCGTGCCCACCCGTCAGGCTCCCACGGACACAGGCAGTCCTGCCATCCTGGCCTTGCCAGTGCCCACGTCACTCCCGCTGCCCATTCCGCCACTGTGCGGAGGGGTCCGCTGGACCCGCTCTCCTCCCAGGCCAGCCCCCTGCCTCCTGGCCTCAGCGTGTGACAGGGACTTCCCCACCGCGTCCCCAGCCCCAGCACCGAATATCCTCTCAAGGTGCACAACCGCCGCCTCCGGTAGCTCTGTCTGTCTCCCGCTGGCCCGGTGGGGATGTCTCAGGGCTCCTGGGCTCCCGGGGGATGCGCCGCTGGGTGCCCCCTGGGTTCCCGTCAAGTGTGCTGGCCCCAGCCCCGCTCCTCCCAGGTGCCCTGGTCTGGCTCTGCTCCCTGAAGTCCAGATGGCATCTGATGCCATCTTTCATTTTCATGTATGTCTCTATCGCAGGCTGAACACGGGGTGCTCGGCAGGGAGCGGCCTCTGACGCTGCCCCTGGGCGGAAGGAGGGGCCTGCCACGGCCGGCGTGGGGCCCTGATGTCTGGCGGACCCCGCCTCTCAAGCAGTGGGATGGCGGGCGAGGCATCTGCTGGCAGAGGCTCCCAACAGGAAGAGGGCCTGCAGCCGTGTCATTCAGCACTCAGAAGACAACGGCACCACTGCCGATCGGGAGCCCTGAGGGTGCTCTGGGTAGTAGTGGGCAGGGGGCACAGGGATCCCTCGCACCTCACAAGGTCTGACGGATCGCCACACGAGTCCCTGTGAGGCCCCTTCCTTGGCACAGCCCCCAGGGCTCACGGGCTGTCGCCGGGCCGGCCCCTCCTGAGGTGAGGCCACAGATCCCGGTACCATGAGCACCCAGGGCAGGTGGCACAGGGAGGAGTGGGGTGCGGAGCTCTGACTGCAGCGCCCCACGACCGGCCGCCTTGAATCCTCCGCGTCAGGAGCCTCCAGGCAGGCCGAGTCAGAGTGCTCCCCTAGGGTCTGCTCTGTCGTCCCCATCCCTGGCCGGTCCTGGCCGGGCTCTGGGTGCAAACTGACCTCTCCAGCCCTGGGTCTCAGCCCCACACAATGAGAGTGACCGGGGGACGCGCACAGGTACCGCCACAGGCCCGAGGCGGGGGAGGCTGGGTGGCCTGGGGCGGGGCTTCCAGCGGGGCCCCTGCTGACCGCCACAGCGGGGCTGGGCCGGCAGGTCCCGGGGGCCCGGCGCTGCCTCGTTCAGGCCCGCTGGGGATGTGGCCACGTTCCCAGGGACGGGTACACGACCTCCCAGTAATGCTCAGTGCGGCAGCGGGCACGCCCGCCCTCCACAGCGCCCAGGGAGGGGGCACACGGGCTGCGCCGGGGCTTTGGCTCCACCTGGTGCAGCACTTCCCCTCAGCGCAGCCTCGGGACGGTCTGTCTGTGAGGCCGCTGCTGCCGCGTGCGGGGTCTAACCCAGGCCGAGCCCCTCAGCCAGCCGGCCGCCCGCTCTCCCTCCCGCGCCTCAGGGGCCCAGCCCCGGGTGAGACTTCTCCAGAGGGAGGACACGGACCGAGGACCCCAGACCACGAGGCCCCTCCCGCGGCAGGCAGGGTCCTCCAGACATCGGGGCGCCCAGCACGGCCGCGGCCCCTACCTGGTAGATGTGACTTGTCATGGAGGAGATGAACTTGGCCTTGTAGACGTTGCCATCTGTCCACCGCAGCTCCACAAGCTCACCCTCGGGCGGGGGCCCCAGCCGCACGCAGTCTCTGCTCTGCAGACGGAAGGCGGGGACGTGACGCTGGGGCCCCTCGCTGTGTGTGTGACCCGGAAGAGGCCCACTGTCTTGGCAGAACCCCGCCAGCGCTGAGCCCACAGGCCCGGGGGGCGGGGCACAGGTACAGGGGCTGAGAGGCGGGAGCCGCCGCCCCCCGGCTGCCTGCACATGGAGCAGCGGGACAGGCTGCCCTGCAGGACACGCCCACGGCCGCGGCGCCCACAGGGCCAGCCCAGCCTCCTCACCGTGATGCTCTCGGGGTACAGGTTGTCGCTGTAGGAGCCGTCGTCGAAGTTCACCTCGTAGAAGACCTGCGTGGTGGTGCCGATGACGCGGCAGCGGTAGTAGAGCCCGTTGCGGTTCTTGGTGATGACCACCTGGCCTAGGGACACTGCCCTGAGGGCCTGCGCCTGGGGACGGGCGGGAGGTCACCAGGGCCGGGGCGGCGTGGGAGGCCGGGCAGGGAGGACAGGGCGGAGGGGACACTCACGGCATGGCCACCTGCCCTGTGTTTGAGGCAGGTGATGGATACGGCGTAGGGCCAGTCGTCGGGCTCCAGGAGTACCCCGGCGGCGCGCGCGCACGTCACGTGGAAGGAGGTGGAGCAGCGTTCGAAGGAGCACTGGATGCAGGCGCCCGACACCCTCTTCACGCGCTTGCGGCAGTACACGCACTTCTGCGGGGACACGGGGCTCACTGCACCCAGACCCATGGCCCTGCCCCCGCCAAGCCCCCACGTCTGCCTGGAAAGGGGTCTCACCCGCCCCCTGGCCCAGGAGCAGGCCGGGAAATGGGGCCCCAGGAGCACCCCAGCATGAGGGAGGGGGACACACGAGGCACTTCGAAGGCAGAAGGTGCCAACGGCCCAGTGCCCACCGAGGGCTGGACGGGCACACGCGGGGTCCACACACCGGACACTACGTGGGCAGGATGGCAGCACGGCTGTGACACTCGCCACAGCGTGGTGGGACCTTGAGGACGCCATGCTCAGTGAGAGACACCAGACAGAGGACACAGCACGGGCCCCGTGGACAGGAAACGCCCAGGACAGGGGACACCGGAGACAGAAGTGGCCCCGTGGGTGCCGGGGCTAGGGACGGACGGTGACCGCTCGTGGGACAGATGAGGCTTCCTGTGGGGCACTGGAGCCACAGCCTCAGCGGCTGCCACGCACGGGCCAAGCCCGCCGTCACCCTGAGCATCTCATCAGCAGGCCGCATCGCTCTGTAAACCATGTTCAAAGGCCGGATAAGCGCCGGCGCGGCTGCAGCGGGCGCATGCGGATCGATGGCGATGAGATCTCATTATGGAACTGTCAATGCAGCTCCCGGCGGGGCCTGCGCGCTGATGGACGGCGAGCCTGGCAGCCTTCGCTCGAGGCCGGGTCCCCCCTCCACGCTGCGTGCACACCGCCCAGGGGTCCCGGAGGCCGCTGCGCCTGGGCATAACACGAGCCTGTCCTGGCCGGCTGGCAGCTCCTCAGGCGCGGCTCCGCGGAGGAAGAGCGCCGGGAGCAGGGAGCCCCCACCCCAGGGGGCCGCGCCCTGAAGGCCCGGCAGGGCTGTGCGGAGGCTTGCTCCTCCCAGCCTCATCCTGGACTTCTGATTTCCCTGGACACATCGGGGTGCGGGGACACCCGAGCCAGTCACTGCCCACCCCGGTGCCTGGGCCCAAAGAGCGGGCCGGAGGGCGGCGGGGCCGGGCTCCCCTGCCAGGCGTGGGCTGGGCGCGCAGGAGTTAAGTGCGCTTCCGCGCGGCCCCATTAGGCAGGATGCGCTGCCGGTGTAAAAGGATTTTTAATTCATCGTTACAAGTGCTCGCGATGAAGAGGCTGCTTGCTGGAAATGTCAGAAGATCCATAAAGTGTCTGGGAGGAGGATTTATCACCCGCGCCCGCGCCGTCTCCCTCCGAATAACGAGGCCTCTTACGCCTGCGTTTGTGGACTGAGTCACTGCCACCGAGGAGGCGTCACCAGCAGCTGTCGCCCCGAGCTGCCCATCCGTGTCAGCCAGGCTGGCGGCCACACGCTTGGGAATGGGCCCCCGTGGCCCACAGGCACAGCCCACCCAGGTGGCCCCACACCTGTGGGCTTGGAGCACGCGGTCCCTACCCCAGGGCTCAGGGCCTCCTGGTGCCAGTGGCCGCAGCTCAGAAGTAGCGACAGGAGTGGCCTCTCGGGGAGGGGCTGTGGCAGATGGGTGCTCAGACAGCCCAGCCAGCGCTCACAGGCCCAGGCCTCACCCCGGTCCTGTGCGGGGCACCGTCAGCAGCCACTGCACAGGCAGCCAGGCCAAAGCACAGAGAGGCTGGGAATCTGCCCAGAGCCACACAGCAGATACCAGCCAAACTCAGACCTGCCCCTCGGGCCATCCCCCAAGGCGACCTCGTCAGAGAGCTGAGGGAGCCTGCCACTGACTGACTGGGAGCTCCTTAACGGGCAGCCTCGGCACGTCCTGAGAGGGACCAGGGACACAATGCCTGCAGCTCAGCAGCACAAATCCCAGAAAACAGGAAAATGGGCAGAGCCCCAAACACACTTCTCCCCTGACACGCAGACGGAGGAGAAGGCACTCAGCACGGCTCATCCCTCGGGAGGGGCAAAGCCAAGCCGCCAAGGGAGGGCGCAGCGCCCCTGCCAGACGCTGGCTCAGAGGACAGAGGAGCAGGGGAGGGGCCGACACGGGGCGGCAGGAACACGAGCTGCCCAGCCATCCCGGAAATGCCACGTCGCTGTCTCAGAACACTAACCCAAAGCTAGCAGGAGCTCCAGCAACCCCACTGCCGGGAATTCACGGCCCACACGGCCGTCCACACCGCCTGCCCCCTGCGGCACTGTTCACTGCTCAGGCGCTCAGCAGCAGAGGAACGGGTCAGGAGAGCGCAGTCCCACCACAGGACAGGTTACTCGCCATCAGAAAGAAAAACCTGAGCTGCCACTGACACACGCCTGGCACTCCAGCTACTCACAGGCTGAGGCAGGAGGACAAGAAGTTGTAGCCCACACTGGGCTACCGGGCAAAACCCTGTCTCAAAATAAAAATAAAAGAGCTGGGGGTGTTGCTCAGTGGTGAGCACTTGCCTCCCGTGCAAGAAAACAAGGTCCACTCTTGCCGGGTGAATACACAGGCCCAGGGGCACAAAGGCGGACGGGGCGGGCAGCGAGGTCAGCGTGGAACCAGGGAGGAGCCGCGCTCCCCAGCTGCACCAAGCGCCACCAAGCGAGTCGTGCTGGTCAGCGCGCCCTTTCTGTCCCTGACTTCGGGACCTGCACCTCGCCCGGCGGCACAGACGGCCGGGGCCCTGCGTGGCGGGATCGCAGGATGGGCCGCAGCCGCGGACCTACCAGTTTCCACCGCTGCTCGGGAATGCCACTGATGTCCACGGGGTGGCGCTCGATCACGTTCAGGAACCGCACCTCGGGGACCGCGATGGCGCAGATAACGTGGATCCACCTGCGGGACGAGGTGGGCGGGCTCTAAGGACACAGCCGCTCCCCCAGCACCCACCCGCGCAGGGCCGTCGCGCACCCACCTCCGGTCCGTGGTCGTCTGCAGCGCGCCGCCCCGGAGGTTGCACAGGCAGCACTCCTGCAGGGAGAGCCGGTGAGCAGCCCGCAATCCTCCGTGCACAGCAGGGAAACCGCGCCCAGGGCCGCCCCCTCCCCTCCCGCGGGCCGTTACCGCTGTCCAGGCGTGCGCTGCGCACCGGGAACACGTCCAGCCCTCCTTGACCAGCTCGGGGCGCACGCCATAGCAGCCTGTGGGGCAAAGGCTGCTGACACGGGCTCAGCGCGGTAGGGGCTCCCACCCAGGCCTCCCGCAGACCAGGCCCAGGCACTGTGGCCCCGTGTGCGGGAGGAGGGCAGGGCTGGACACTGGGCCCCCACCGTCCATCACAGTAGCTTGCCCTGGCGTGTGGCCCTGGGCCAGGCCCCAGGCGAGGGCAGAGGGCCCTACCTGCCCTGGGAGCACTGCCCTGCAACGCACCCTCTCCCTTGAGGCCCAGCTGCGCGAGAGCAGGTCTCCAACCCAGGCCTCCCGGCAGGAGCCAGAACTCCTGGCTACCCGAGGGAGGAGCTGGCGCGCTCCCCGGCCTCCCTGGCGTGCAGAAGTCAGCAAGTCCAGCAGGCTCTCTTCCGTCCTGACAGTCCCACCCGGGAAAGGCAGCACCCAGCGAGCGCAGCGGAGGGGACACAGTGACTAAGGACCCTCTCCCACCTCGCCCACGTTGCGGCCCAGGCCCCCATGCGCACGGTGGCACTCACTGGCGTGGACCTGCAGGCAGCACTTGGCGCAGCTGATCAGTGGGCTGGTGCCATCGTCACCCACGCAGGAGTTGGCGGGCAGCGGCTCAGTGTTCTCCCCACTGGAGGTGAAGCACATCTCGGGGATGAGGGGCCGTGTCTTCTGGCCACACCTGGAAGGCGGCGGGGCCGAGGGGCCCTCGAGGACAGAGGCCAGGGGCACCTCCTTCTCCGTCTGCAGGGACTGCGGGGTGAAAGTGCGGGGCGAAGGTGCCCTTCAGCGAGGGCAGAGGCCCCACACTGGCTCAGGAGCCTGCACGCCCCTCCTGGGCCTCAACTCAGACTTGCAGGGTGCCACACACGGCCCGTGGGGGCATGCCTGCACGGCAGCCGCACCCAAGCCCGACCCCACCCAAGGCAGTCACCGCGCCCCAGCAGTCTGCAGCGGGATGCCCAGCAGCATGGAGGACAGCGTGCAGAGAATGCACGTCTGGAAATCACACCTGGTTTACCTCCAGAGTGGCAGGCTCTGGGGACAGCCATGCTGCTCGAAGGGCACGCATCCCCACCCCTCTGCCTCCCCAGGCTGGCCCACTGGGAGCTGGGCACAAATATGACACATGGTTCTGGCCCCTGGGGGCACAAAGACCTGGGAAGGATGCAAGGGCTTAAGAGGAAAAGCAGGCAAACTGCACCAGGGGTGCGCACCTGTCTTCCCAGCACTCTAGGAGGCTGAGACAGGAGGATCACCCACCCGCCCGCGCCCACCTGGCTGTAGGGGTAGAAGAGGCTGCAGATGGCGCAGTAGGGCTCCGTGAGTGCAGCCGCCGCATTGAACTTCCGCTCCGCCTGGAAGCCGGCAGCTTTGTTCTTCCACTGCAGGGACAGCAGGGAACGCAGGGCCTCGGGATCGCTCATGTCCTCCTCAGCACCAGAGAAGGGCAGGGCTTCTGGAAGGGCACAGTGGTGGGGTGAGGCCCTGCTCCTGCCGGGCCCACCGCCCACCTGGTTTACAGCACCCGCCATGCCCGGGGTCCTGTCACAGGACCTGTAACCTCCTGGAGCCCGGTGTGCCAGTGTGGCGCTGAGCGTTGCCCCCCCTCACCCGTAACCTCCCTGGACGTGTGGAGAGGCCCATGTGGCTGGGGCCCTGCAGGCCAGGGACCCACGGAAACTCCAGCGCCATAACCTGCCTATACCCAGGCCTGAGCCCAATGTGTGACTCGGAGACACGGGGCCCTGTGTTCCTCCATGGCCCCAGCCTGCAGCCCTGCAGACCCCTCCTGGCGTCGGTGACCAAGTGCGTCAGCTGCATGTCCCGAGCTCCCTAAGCTAGACAGGGCATCGTGGGAACCCGGGGAGGGGATGGAGACCGGAACCTCAGCCTCCGAAGTAGCTCACACACAGCCCTCCTGTTCACTGTCCCCGATGGACTCTGATGTCCCTGTTACCAGCCAGCTGTTCCAATCTCCCCACACTCCCACCCAAAGTCTCCTGCACACTTGGGGTGCTGTCTCCAAGAAGCAGGATTCTGTATGCCTGTAATCCCAGCACTCGGGAGGCTGAGGCAGGAGAACTGCTGTGAGTTCGAGACCAGCCTGTGCTACAAAGTGAGCTCAAGGCCAGCCTAAAATGCATAGCAAGACTCTGTCTCAAAAAGAAAACAAAAACAAAAACAAAAACAAAAACAAACCACACCACACAAAAGAACAAAGAAGCAAAGTTCTCCTTCCTGAGGCTCCCCCTCCTCCAAGCAGCCCCACAATAGCCTGGGTCCTGGCCTTTAGCCTTGGTCCCTGGAGAGGACCCTGTGGGGGCCTTGTGGTGCTTCAGGCTGAGCCTGCCCTGCCCAACACCCAGGCCCAGTGATCTGGCTGCCTCGGCCCCCGCAAGGCACAGACAGCCTGGAGCCACCAGCTCGGGGATGGCGCTGGGCTCCGCGGTCATAGGGCCTCACCCGGGGATGCCTTGCAGTGCAGTGCAGGGCAGGGGCACTGCCAGTGCTGAGGTGCTGGAGACGTTTTCTGGAAAGAGCCCTGCTCTAAGGTGACACCAGGGCCACACTTGGGACCACCCCCACCCCCACCAACTTCCAGAACACCCTTCTCTTGAGCCCTCCTGGCAGCCCAGGATGAAAGGCGCCATCCGCAAGGCTTGTACATTGCAGGCACGTCTCAAGCAGAAGGCTGAAGCCAGGAGGAAACTCCTTGAGGCAAGTTTCTGCCCCATGGTGGCCTGGGAGCAGGCCAGGCTAGAGGTGGCTCTGACAAGGCCACCCGCCCCAGGGTGACCCCGGATGTCTTCCTCTAGCCGGCTTCCCTAAGTAACCTCAGGGCAGCCCGAAGCCCCGGCACACTGCGGCCCTGGCTCTTTCCCTTGATGGACAGGCAGGGCAGGAGGCCATTTCCGTGGGAACAAGCCTGGAGACAGGATAGGGACCCGCGCAGCTTGCCCCTGCCATCCTCTGCGCTCTGCTCTACCCAGCTCTGCCTGCGACAGGCGTGGCCACACTGCGGCCATGGCTCAGGCTCACTGCGCAGGCATGCAGCGGTGCAGGCCCCCAAGAGGACGGGGGGCAGTGGGACTCGGGCCATAGGCATGGCGGGCATGGGGCTCCACAGGAAGCCTGAAGGCGCTGCCCTGGGCCAGGGGAAGCCGGCCACTGTTGCCTTCCTGAAGCCCCTCGACGCCTGCCCAGCACGCTCCATGCTGGCTCCTGCATGTCCTGACAGCAGCAGGGGCACAGGCAAGGGCACCGAGTCACCGGGACAGCACCCAGGGTGTTTGGGGCCCGGGTCCAGCAGAGTAGGAACGGAGCCGAGGGGTGGGGTCGGGGCCACTCACCCTCGTCACTGGAGGCCTCCTGCTTGACCACCGACAGTGGGGACCGTGTGGGTGGCCGGCCCAGGGGATGGCGCCGGCTCTTCTTGATCTCCATCTTCAGCTTGGAGAAGGTGGATGGGACCTGGGACACAGTCCGCACGCAGCCTTATGAGGCCCGAGGTAGGGCCGCACAGGGTGGTGTCGGAGAGGGGCCGGGGGACCGGATACCTACCGGCACCTTGCCACCGCGGGCCTTGGCCTCGTCCTCGGGCCCCGCCAGTTCCATTGGGGTGGCCTGTGGGAGCCCATGGTCTCGCTCGGAAGCCCGGGGCACCACGTACAGCATGGGGATGATGGGCCGCGGCTTGGCCTCTTGCTCCTCACCGGGCACCTCAGGGGGTACCACGTTGAGGGGTGCAGGTGGGGGACCTTCCTCGACAGCCGGGAGCTCCAGGGGGGGCACCAGCCTTGGGGCCTCCTCAGTGGGGAATGGGGCTGGTGGGGGCTGGGGTGGCAGCTGTGGGGAGAGGGGGCTGTAGCTCTTCTTCTTCCGGTCGCCCCTGGGCTTGGCTGGCCGCAGCTTGCCCCTACCATCCTCTGTGGGGAGAAAGGGCAGTCGGGTGTGGTGGGCGCTCGGAAGCCCAGGCCCCTCCCAAGCCCAGGCCACACGCTGCCCCAGAAGCCCCTGCCCGCAGCACCGGGTGGCGGCTTCTCAGTGCTCTCCAAGTACCAGACCTGTCAGAGGCTGGGCCAAGCAGCAGCCCCTGCCCTGCACAGCTCTGGAGGACCCACACATGGACATCGTGTTACCCCAGGGGACAGGACTCGTGTCGCCCATGTCTGGACCTGGGAGGGTTCTTTGTCAGCACACGCAGGGCCCCTGCCACTGGCCACAGGCACAGTGCTGCCTGGAGCCCTGGGAAGGGAGGGAGAGACCGAGAGAGGCCGAGACGCCACGCTGCTGGCTCGCAGATGGAAGGGGCTGCGAGCCGAGGGCTGCAGGCACTGCTAGCAGGAGGGAGCCTGGGAGGGAGCAGCCCTGCTCACGCCGACGTTAGCCAGATGGTCAGACCGTGAGATGAGGAGACATATGAGGTGACAAAGCTGTGCTACTCAGAGCCACCAGGTTTCAGCTGTTGGTGGTAGTGGCTTGTGTGGGGGCAGCTGGGCGGAGGGCCAGCTACACTGTGGCGTCCCGACCCCTGCCCTGGGAGGCTCAGGTGCCACCAGGACATGAGACGGGCAGCACTGACACACAGGTCCCAGCAAGCCCTGCAGGGGCCCACCCTATGGGCCTCCACCCCTGCTGCCCACAGGTCGGTGTTCGCCACGAGCTCCTGACGCGCTGAGCCGGCCTGGGGTTGTGTGAGGCCTTTCCTACCTCTATCTCCGCAGCAGGAAGGGAGCCACTAGCCACGCTTCCTGCAAGGACACCACAGTCCACTCCTAACCCCTGGCAAGCACAGCCCATGATACCCCAAAACACTGGGCTGTACAAAGACCGGACGCAGGGGAGGGGGTCCACCCCCACCCAGCTGGGGCTGAGACTCAAGCACCGCGCTGGGCCCCTCTGCATCTGGGCCCCGGGGATCCAGCCCAGGAGCCCCAGCAAGGGCCTCAGACCCAGAGGGGATTCAGGACACAGCTCAGCACCCCCGTGAGGACGCAGGGGTAGCGGCCCCCTTGCCCTCGGCTGCCCCCCAGCTGCAGCACTCAGGCCTCCAGCCAGGGCTGCGGGTCAGGGCGTCGGCTGCAGGAGCAGGGCTCGCTCTGCGCACAACAAGCTCAAGGAGGCCACAGCCTGCATCGCAGGCCTGGGACAAGCTGGGGACACTCTGGGCAAGGGCTGTCCCCACGGACAGCAGCTCAGTGACCCTCAGCTCCTGGTCCTCACCCCAAAACCCCCGGCTCCCTAGAATTCCACAGTGGCCAGAGTAGGTGCCCAGCCCGGGAGGTGTGGGGCACAGGTCCACAGCACCTCTGAGGGAGAAGTCCAAGGCCCAGAAGGGCGCATGCTGGGCCCCGGTGACCTCGGGCCTCAGCAGGGGTCTCCCACCCCCACCGCAAACCCCACGCCTGCCCCAGGGCGGCAGTCACACAGGGAGGCCCGAGGACCCAGCAGGGTCCTGCACCAGGAGAGACGGCAAGCAGGCCCCTCCGGGGCTCTGGGGTGGAGCCGCAGCTGGTGTCCCAGGCTGAGTGCATCGGCCTTCCTGGCTCTGGGGCCAGCGCCTCTCCAAGCACAGGCCCGGCTCCAGCCCAAGGCTGCCAGCTGGGAAACCATGTTTCCAAGGAGACCAGCTCTGGCCTCATTTCCAAGGTGCCTGTGGGTTCCTTCCCTGACCAAGCCAGGGCCAGCAGGTCCCGGCCTGCAGGGTCTCTCTGGTCCTGCTGAGGGCCACTCCTGCCCACCCGTCTTCCCAGCCAGAGCCCGGGGTGCAGCACACTCCACGGCAGGCACTGGGTGCCCCTGCACCACACCCACAGCCCCCTAGTGTGGCAGCCTTTGCTGTCAGGGCCGCCGGGCCACTCTGGAGACGGAGGCCCCAGAGGGGAGCTGGGGTCTGTGCTTGGCCCCCACCCTGGCTCGGATCCTCGGGGATGAAACTGCCCCAAGCCCCCGAGATGCTCAACTCAGAGGCTGCCTACCTGCACGGTCAGGCCTGGGCACCAGGCGGGGGCTGTGAGTGGTGCTGGGCCAGCTGCTTCCCATGGGCTTGGGGGTCACAGGTTGCCAGTGGGGTCCCGGCAGCCAGTCCTGGCCCTGCCCACGCTCGGGGCTCCGCCTGGCGACCCTGATCCCGCAGGCCCCACGAGCCTCAGGACCCAGTCTCCGTGTCAGGACTCACTGTGTTTGAAACACAACCCCAAACGTGGCCCTCGCCCTCAAAGCCTCCCTAGCGGCTGCAGCTGGCATCCAAGGACAGAAACTGCTCGCGAACTCTGGCACCCAGCCCAAGACATGTCTGCATGGCGTCCCAGGAAGAGGGCTGTGCTCTCCTCAGCACCCCACTACGGCACAGGGACAAGTGTCCCAGGCCAAAAGGAAAAACTGGCCCCGAGCAGCCCCAGCTGAGACCCCGCCCTGTCCCCAGAGGCCCTGCCCTTGGTGGCCCCGCCTGGTCACCCAGGGCAGCCTCATGAGCCACACACGCCACCCTCCCATGGGGCAGCTGTGGTTCTGTCCATGGGGCTCCCAACAGTGGCCGGGTGCTCAGAGGGGACACCGGGGCAGAACCAGGGCAAGCGGGGACACCTGGAGAAGGGTCGCTGGCTCACAGCCTGTATGTGGTCTCCTGCTCCTCGGCCCACGGAGGCCTCTGCGTGGCCTGGGCCGGAGCCCGAGGAAGGGAAGCTGAGCCAGGACACATACACATGCGCACGCACACACGCACGCACACACGCACGCTGCCCAAACAGTGACGATGGCCCAGGCCAACCCATAAATAAAACCCAATTAATTAGGAGTTCTCAGAGAGCCGCTGCCTCCTCACTAACCATCTGGGCATGCAGAGCCACCCGACCAGGGACCGTCCCGGTCAGCCTGCAGCCAGCAGCCCTGCCCCTGCTCGTGAGGAACACGGACGCCATCCCAGCGAGGCAAGGCCGGGAAAGCCTTGCCGTGCCCACCTCCCCCTCCGGCCCTCCCTGCCCCTCGCCAGTCCTTGGAGAGATCCCCGCGAGCCACCGCTCACCTCACATCCTCCCCTGCACCATCTGTGCTTAGGAGACCTGAGATCCTGCCGCTAGCGCCGCCTCCGAGAACAACTACTACCCAACGCAGCCCAGCTCGCATCCCGACTCACCCCGTGAAGCGAGGGTTTGAGAGCTCACGGCGCAGACGCAGGGCCGAAGGACACCGGTGGGACAGGGACAGCCCCGCCCCCCGCCCCCCCCAGCAGCTGGGGCCTGGCATCCCTGCCTCTGCTTGGTCCCGTGGCGACAGCATCCTGCTCCCGAAACTCCTGTGTCGCAGTCCCAGCCCAGGACAGCACGGACCCTCACTCGGATAGCTCACCGCGCGAAGTCAGAACGACACGCGGGATGGGGTCCTTGTGAAAGGGCGGCTCACTGCGCGTGGACCCCAGCCCACCCGATTTCAGAGCGATGCTGACACCCTTCAGCCAGCACCGCTGCCCCTCACCTGCCTGGGAGCCAGTGGGACGCGCCACAGGGCCGGCCTGCGCGTAAAGCCGGCCTCCTCCTCACGCCTGCACAGCAGAGGGCGTCCCCACCCCTCCCCGTCCTGTGTCTCCGCTCCATGCTCTAGAGCAAGTCTCTGGGATGCGCACCCCTCAGGGGACCTCCAGGAGCTGAGAGGGCTCCACGGCAGGGCGGGGTGATCTGCACCCCGAACAGCAGTGGGTGGGGCTGCTTGCTGTTGCCTCCTCCAGGACCGGGCACAAGGGGCCGTGACATCTCTGCGCGGCCCAAGTACAAGGGACTTGTCCTAGAGCCGCTGCCATACCCGTCACCCTGCGCCCCTCCTCCCCTCAGGGCCCCTCCCCACAGGCCGCGCCTGCCTGGATGAGCTGCGCTCTCTGCTGTGTGCTTGCTCATGAAACACGGGCCCTCAGTTCTAAGGGTTTACTCTTCTACCGTGTGACGGCAGCTTTCTAACGTGCTGCCTTGGTAATGCTGAGTCCCAAGTCAGTTGTCCCCAGCCAATCCCAGGGCCTGAGAACCTGCCATCTCCTAGAACACAGGGACCCTGCAGCCAGGCTAAGTGAAGGGCCCTGCAGGGATCGTCCTGACCACTTGGGCCTGGTGTCAGGTGCGGGTGGGTAACAGCCGAGAGGCTGAGGACACGGTGCTGCAGCTCCGCAGGTGGAGGAAGGGGCCACAAGCCGAGTGCTGCGGGCGCCTCTAGGAGCCACAACACGGACCTGAGTTCTCCTCCGGGCCTTGGGAGGAGCAGCCCTGCCACCTGTGCCTGACTGCAGCACAGGAAGGCCCGACTCAGCCTTCTACCTTCCAGAAGTTTGAAAGAATAATGTGTGTGGTTTGAAGCCATCCAGATTGTGGTCATTCTTGAGAGAGGCCACACTGTGTGGGGGGATGCAAGTCACTGTCCCCTGTGCCAGGACCCATCCTCTGAGCACCTGTCTACACTAGCCTCGGCCGTGGAGGCTACTGCTGGTAGCCCCAAGCCCGGGGACCGGATGGAACCACGGTGACCTGTAGGTGACGTGCACAGGGACTGTCTGCACCCAGGATCCTGCAGCAGGGGCAGCCCAAGTGGCATCTATGGAGACACCAATACCCTGAGCTGTTCGGCGGCAGCGTTGCCACCCGGATGCCGTGAATGGGACTCCCTGCGGGGGCCCTACTGGACTCTGTGTCACTTGGCTCCACCGTGACTCCCAGAACCTGGGCGGGGTCCCCAGTCCACTCCCTGCTCCCCTCTGGGGCTCAAGGACCCCGGCTGGACCCCGAGGGCCTGACTGGCTCTGTCTGACTCACGATGCTTTTTCTACACAGATGATAGCAGTACTGTGACAGGCCGGGCTGCCCTCTGCTTTGTGCTGGACAGACACACGTCCTGCCGGTGTCCCCAGCTGAGCGGCAAGCTGCGGCCGCTCCACCCTCCAGCTCTCCTCTGCAGGGCACCCGAGTCTCTGGGCCCAGCTGGTGGCGCCCCTGTCTCAGCCCTTTCACCAGGGCGGCACTGGGAGCACGTGTGGGGGTGGGGCTGTAGATCAAGCAATGAACCCCATCCCAGGAAGGAAAAAGCTCTGTCAGTGGTGGAGACAAGGTGCCCTAAGCCTCACAGACGGAGACACCGTGGTGGCGGGCAAGGGGATGTCTCTGAGACTCCCGAGTCCCAGGTAGTGCTCTGGCGCTGCCACTGCTCCTGAGCCCTAGAGACGGAGGACGCGCCCGAGAGCAGGCGCCCTGCCTGCGGGGAGGCTCCCGGCCGCCTGTCCCCACGCTGCACCTGGTGCACTGAGACACAGCTCATGCAGACGTGCTGGGTAGGAGCCCCAGACTCACCTTCGGCCCCCTCGCCGTCCTGGCCCTGCGCCGGCTCCTCATCCTCTTCGTCGGGGTCGGCATCGGGTGTGGCTTCCTCCTTGGCGCAGCCCGCTGCCTCCTCCAGGAGGGCCACCCCCGCCGCCCCCTCGCCTGGACATCTGGGGTCCTCGGGCTTGGGCTTCTTGGGCTGGCTGCGCTTGCGGTGGGACCTGGGGTGAGGGAGAGTGTCAGGCAGGAGACAGGGACGGGGGCACGGCTTGCAGGCTGCTGGCAGGACAGAGCCCACCTGCCCACCCACTGGCAGGCGCAGCCTCGGGCTGGGGAGGAGCGGAGCGGGTGGGACGTCAAGCGGGAGCTGATGGCAGCTGGAGATGGACGCCGCGCACACCAGGTGATGGCGGGACGCTTCGGCCTCCGGGAACCAGGCGGTGAGGACACACAGGGCAGACGCGGGTGGACGGCAGCCGCGTGAGATGCTGGCGGCAGGGACAGAGGTGCACTTACGCCAGCCCCGGCTTTTTGGTCTGCTCTTTCCTCCTCTCTAGACTGGGCTTCCTCTCCTCCTCAGTCTTTCTCCAGTGTCTGCTTTCCTTCAGACTAATTTGTCTAGAATGTAAATTTCAGGGAGATTTTTTCTAGCACTCTGGTCCCCCCATGCGTCTCCTGGGGCCTAATCTCGGGCACTGGTCCCTGTCCCCAACTCCCTGGTCTGGGTCCCCTGAGCCCAGATCGGCTGGCCTGGCACAGGGCACAGCTCGAGACAGAACAAGGGAGACCCAAGGAGGCCTGTGGCTGGCTCAGCCGCGCCTTCCCGGCAAGGAGAGGCAGAGGGAAGAAGGGGCAGAGGCGGCGAGCAAGGGCCTGCAGCTCCTCCAGGTGAGCGCTGCTGCGGCCCCAAGGCAGGAGCAGAGGCGGGGGGGTCACACGCCTGGCCCCTGCACGACCGCGGGGCCCCCTGGCCGTGCTGCCTGACTCCCCAGTGCCCCTTCTTCCTCCCCTGCTGTCGCCCGCCCAGCCCTTCCGGGGGCCAGCAGAAAGGCAGCGGCTCCCGGAGACCCTGCGGCACTCGTGGCCAATGCCGGGGCCCTCCTGTCCCTTTCTAGGTCACTGCTCCCTGCGCCTGGGCTTGCGGCTGTGTCCCCACCCAGGGAGAGCCACTCGATGGCAGCAGCATGAACCCCACGAGATGACCAGCAGCAAAAAGCGGGTGCAGCATTCCAGGGGCGCAGGCAAAGGCATGTGGGTGTCACACACGCGGGGTGCGCAGGGTGAGATGGGGGCGGCAGGGAGGGACAGGGAGACCCTGAGGGGAGAGCAGGGGATGTGGGGCCCCTCCCAGCAACGCCACCTGTAGCTCAAGAGGCGGCCCAGGGGTCACCACCCATCCCCGCCAGGGGCTACTCCAGGTCAGGAGCTTCGAGGGCCACAGGGCCAAGGGACCACAGACACCCCTTCCACCCAGCCCCCGCCCCGCCCCGCCGGCAGCCTCCTGCCCACTTGCTTGCGTCCCGAACCGCCCTCAGCTCCACACGGCCACCTCTCCCCTCCCTGTTCCCCGCTGGGGACCAGTCGTGGAGGCCACTTCCAGGCCGCAGACCAGGGGCCTCCTGGGCCCTCAGCCCACTGGCGCTGGCTCTGTCGACATGAAGCGGCTGCACCACGCAGAGACAGGCCTTGGCCGGTGTGCCCATGGGGCTGGGGTGCCTGAGTCCAACTGCTGCCACCTCTGCTGCAGCATTCCCTAGATGCAGGGTCTTCCTCTTGCATCTCTGTAATTTTTATTTCGGTTGTTTGACGTAGGTCTTGCTACGTAGTCCAGGCTGGCCTTGAACTCCCTGCACAGCCCAAGCTGGCCTCCAACTTGAGGCGATCCTCCTGCCTCAGCGTCCTGAGTGCTGGATAACAGGCATGCACCACCACGCCTGGCTCTCTTCTCTACCTGCAGGCACCTGCCTGTGCCATGGCTCCACTTTCCACGTCTGCATCCCTCCACATCTCCCAGCACAGATGCAGAGGGCCCGGCTGTCTGGCCCCGGGCTTCTCCAGGCTCCATTTACCATTGTCCACAAGTCATGGCTCCTCTTCCCTCAGTCACTTCTCTTCCTGAGTCCCCAGCGCCCTGCCACGGCCGGTGTTCTCCTTTGCAGGGCAGCGCGTACTTGCTGAGGTCCTACTCCCTCTGATGTGTCTGCCCCTGGAGCCGCTCGCTCTCCTGGCCCCGTGGCTCTGTAGCTCCGCTCTTGTGTGCCCGGGGCACATGCCCTAGAGGCCTCCCGAGGAAGGAGGTGGATCCTGGCGCTGCAGACCTAAGGCTGGGGTCCGGCTGCCCCTACCCCGCTGTGCACGGCCTGGTGCCTCTGCTGCATTGTCCAGAGGGACAGGCCTCCTGAGTCCAGGCCAGCGGGCCCTCCATCCTTCCAGCTGGAGCTTCAGGGTCTCCTGCAGGACCCCAAGATCGAAGTCCCCAGGGCCAGGCCACAGCGCAGGGAATTCTTACCCGCTGCGCTCTGCCCTTGACCTGAACTGCAGCCTTCAGGCCAGCGCGTCGTTCCTCTGCTGAAGCCCCTCCTAGAGCTCAGCTTCCCGGCTCTGTCTGCGTCCGCACTCCCAGGGCTCCGCGGGCCCCACCCTGCCTCCCAGGCTCTGGGCTGACGGGTGCCCTGGGTGCTTATCTGGCAACGCACCTTTCTGTGTGAAGGCAGTCACCTCCCATTCCTGGCATGTTTCTGAAGTTTCCTGGACTTGCCGTGCTGACTTTGGCGTCCCCACCTGCCGTCACGGACCTGCACTTCCCCGAGAGCTGCCTCAGAGCGCAGGGTCCCAGCTGTGGATTCTCCTGCCCAAGGTGTGAAGATGCTCATCGGTGGCCCTGCGAGCAGCCCGCTGCAGAGCGTCACAGCAGGTGCACGGCCACAACCCGGGGAGCCGGGCACAGCGTCTATTCGCCTATTCCCTGGGAAAGCACCGCCTGCTTCCCGGGCTTTGGGAGGACACCTCCCTCCTGCCCAGTCGCCCAGGTTCAGCCTCACCAAGCATAGAGCTGCCATCTGCGGGGAGATGGCAGGGTGGGCACAGTGGCAGCCCCCTGCTGCAGAGGGCTGAGGAAAGCGCCTAGACCCTGCGACACCCTGCCCCCACCCTGGCGCGATGGCTCCCGCCCAGCCCAAGGATCCCTCCTTCCTGGCTGCAGGCATAGACTCCATCAGGAGCTGCTTGCCCCCCTTCCCTCCTATTCAAAGTCTCTGATGTCACCCAGCTGCTCCTGTCCCTGAGCCTGGTCCTGGGGTGGTGGCCTATGGCAGTTCAGCAGTTTCTGTAGAGAATGGGACCAGTGTGCATGCTGCCTGCCAGGCTGCGCTGGACATCACTTGGTTAATTCATACCAGTGCTGGGACAGAGTCCACCTAACAATGCTAACACGCTCAAGACAGCAGGTGCTTCCCCTGGTCCTCGGCTGACGGGAGACAGAGAAGATGGCCTGCAGCCCCACTGCCCAAGAGCACAGAGCACGGCCCGCAGCCCATGATGGCCAGGACTCCAGGGACCAGGACTTTGGTTGCATGTGTGCCCAGGCTCTGGGCGCCCTCCCCGAAGGAAGCGTTTTGTGTCCCAGAGGAGAGAAGCTAGGGCACAAGGTCACTGCTCCCTGTGGCCCGGTGACACGTTTTTGGGGGCCGCAGGTGCAGCAGCAGTTGGGGTGTAGGAGCCTCGGGGCTGCTCCTCATCTCCCTACCTGCAAGTGTCCAGAGATGGCTGGAGAAGCCAGGGAGAGCTGCAGGGCCAGGGACACCTGGGCCACACTTGGCTGGTGGCAGAAAGCAGCTGGCAGCGGGGTGGGTTGGGCAGCTGGGTGGCTCCCCCCCACTGCCCTCCCAAAGCCCAGGAGGGGCGCAGTGGTGCTCTCTCCACGAGCTCAGGTGGGAAGTGACAGGAGGCAGGGTGTGGGTTGCAAGGGCACCAAACAGCACACAGCTGCTCGCCTGGCCCGGCCGGGAGGAAAATGCAAGTGTCCCCTGCCCAAGGGGCGGGGCACGTCACATCAGCCAGTGAGACGCAATTATGGAAAATGAATTCAGGGAAAGGCAACGAGTCCGGCCATGCAGTCTCCTCGGCGCTCAGGGCGGCTCTGCTGCAGCCAGGACCACGGCTCAGCCTCGGTCCTGGCTCCGCACCGCTGAAGGGGGACCACGAGGCCACCCGGTGCTGCTCCTGGGTCTAGCATAGGGCTCCTCACCGGGGGACACCGGGTCATGTCTGGGACATCTGCAGCCGTCAGTGCCAGGGGAGCGCCTGGCCTGGAGCAGGGGAGGCCAGGGCTGCCGCTGCTCAGCACCTGCAGTGCTCGGGACGCCAAGAGAAAGCCCAGCCCCGGGGTGCTCAGGCCCCAACCCGTGGTGATATCCCCAGCCAAGGACGCACTGACGGCCTCACCCAGCCCCCCGGAGGCCTCAGGAGCTCAGGGTCCCAGACAGAGCTGGGCACAGCGAGGGTATGGGGGACAACCACAGAAAGGGCACAAAAGCACTTCTGAGTGCCACTGGCCACGGCCCGCTTTTAACATGTGGCACAGCGGCCTTCCTGCGAGAGCGCCTTGACTTCACAAGAAGAAAAGGGAATTGGCCTTGTTTTACATACTAAAGGCTTTGAAGAAAATTACATCCCTGGGAAAAGAACTTGATCTGTTATTCCAACCCAGTGCCGGGTTATTCCGGCTCCTAGGGGCTGTGAGGGGAGGCAGGATGCTCCAGAAAGGGGTAGGATTGGGCCCGGGGGCCGGGGGCAGGGGCTGCAGGTCTGTGCAGTGTCAGGGACGCTGGTCCAAAGGCTACTGCTTCTGTGCAAAGCCTGGCGCTGCCTCCTGGCAGCGGCACACTCTAATCCCGTTCTGCCCCACAATGTGGCGCCTGTTTATTGGCAGTCCGCTCTGTTGACCAATTAGCCCGAGTCACAATCAATTAACCATTATGCAAATGGCCTGTCCAGCCCGGGAGAAAGGCGGCAGAGCAGCCGAATGAGGCGAGAGGCTTTTCATGAGGAATCAAAGGCGCAGACAACAAAGGAAACCAGAGGGAGCAGAGCCGCACTGCCTGCAGGGCCGCTGCAGGAAGAGAGCGGGAGTGTGACAATGCTCCTGAGCAACACACAGAGCATGTGATGGGGCCGCAGGCCTCCTCGGGACAGCACAAGCACAGCCCAAAGGGTGACGCGCTGGGCCCTGGCAGGCTCCGCCCATCTCCGGTGGGACACCGACAAGGGGCATGGTCAGGCCAGCAGTGACCTCAGAGCCAAAGCCACTGCCAGTGTGACAACAGTGCGGGCCAGCAGCAGTGCCTGTGTCTTGAAGAGTCGCATCCCGGGCCTGTGACACCGGGAGGCCGCTGTCCAGGGTCCGTGCACAAGGCTTCACCGGGCCGGGGCCTCTGCACTGCGTGGAAGCCGCTGTCCCCAGAGCGGGGGCTGTGTGGAGGCTCCGCGCCGTCTCTCCTGGCCCCAGCCACACTCAGGGACTGTGCGATGTTCCTCGGGCAACTGGGGGTGAACCGTGCAGACAGATGGCGGGGAGCAGCAGGGGCCCACAGTCCGGATGTGGTGCCCATGAGGTGTGGCGCTTTGCCGGTCTTGGGCCTCTCTGCCTGGGATGCTATCGATTTCCTCACCAGGCCTGCCACCCACGTCCCCAACCCCGGTACCTGTAGCCACAGCCACAGAGGAACCGTGAACATGCTGCTGTGGTGGGCGGGGCTGGGGCACCACACAGTGGAGGGGCCCCGAGGTGCACAGCGAGATAAATGGGGGTGTCTACGGACACCCTAAGGATGGGACCCCAAATCTGAGCCACACACCAACAGCACAGTGAGCACGGTGCAGAGGGCGGGAGCCCCACAGCCCACTGGGGCCCAAGAGGCCCCCACAGGACCTGTACCTCTCAGAGCCAACAAGGGTCCTGCTCTGAGGGCTGCTCTGAGGGCAAAATGTAAGGTTCCCTCCAGAGGCAAAGGCAGAAAGAAGGAGGGACCCGGGGGAGCCCCCAGAACCACGTGGCCAGGGGCCCTTGGGGCTCTGCTGAGGAGGGACACAACATTCTGCCCCAAGTGGCGCTGCCAGCCTCAGGACAACGGGCCTGCTGTAAGAGACGGCACGGGACAGCTGGCTGGCAAAGCAAGCAGGACCCGCCATAACAAGATCCCCAGGCAACGCCAGGGCCCCGTATGCAGACCTTCTCCCGCGCTGCAGCGAGACGTGGGCAACACCAAGAGGGGGCTGCGGGGAGCGGACAGCCTGTGCTGCGCTTCCCAGACGCGGCTTGTGCTTTTATCTTCTTCTCTGGTTCTGCCCGAGTTCGCTCCACAGAGCCAGCTTCTCCCATAACCATCTACCCCTCGCTTTCCAATACACTTTTGGCACCATTTTTTGGCTTGATTCGTCCAACTCTTTGTTCGAGGCAAAAAGGACCTTGACTACTGGTGACTGGCGGGCCACTTCTACAGAAGTTACCCAGTAACAGGCCGACCGGGCTCAGAGCAGGAAGACGCAGACAGAGAAGACATGGAGGCAGGAGGAGAAAGAGGGAGGGCAGGAGGAGGGGGAGGACAGGGGCCTAACTGGTCCCCCTGGCAGGCAGGGAAGGGTCTGCGCAGTGTGCAGGGTGGGCACCTGCTGTCCCTGGCCACCCACCTGCGCAGGAGCTTGGCCTTGAGCGAGGCGCGCGAGGCGCTCCAGGAGCTGAGCTCGGGGCTGCTGAGCGCTGTGGGGCGCGTGTGGTCCAGCACCGGCAGGTCCTTGCCCTGCTTCCAGAGCTCGTAGCGCTCCGGCTGCAGGATGCGCACGAACACGTCCATGGAGATCTTCACCATGTCCTTGCGGCACGTGCACTGCGGGGACACACACGCCTCAGACACGGCCCGGGCCGCTCCGCCCGGGGCGCTCTGGGGGAGGAGGACAGGGTCCCTGTTCGAGAGCACAGCTCCAGCACCAGCAGCCCTCCCTCGGCTCAGACGCAGTCTGTCCTTCAGAGGTGCAGCTCCAAGGGCCGGACCCCACCTGGAGAGGCCGTGACAGCAAACATGCCGGGATGATGGGGGCAACAGCTGGCAGCCCCCAGCCCCTGAGGCAGGAAACACGCAGACACGTGCGGCCCCGGAAGAGGCAGGCCGCCCTCCTCCTGGGGCTGGCCAGGGTGATACTGGCCTCATGTGCCAGCCACGGCGTGACAAGACCTGAGGGAGGAAGTGGAGGCCCAGGAGCCAGGGCCACAGAGCTCGGAAGGGTGTCAGGCCCCACCCGCTGGGGGCAAGCAGCACAGCCAGTTTCCTGCTGGACGTGGCAAGCAGCAGCCTGGGCAGGGTGTCCCCACGCACACACAAACTCGGTAACAAGGACACGCAGCGGCAGGGGGCCCTTGTGCCCCCAACCTCCCCAGGTCTCCGCTCTCAGGGGCTCGGCCTCCACACTGGGCACTGCAGGCGACCTGGACACTCAACGCTTCGGGGACTTGGGGGACAGGGAGGCTGGGCTGCTGACTCACGAGCCGATGTTGCCCTGCCCACCTCTGCAGAGCTGGGGCCCTGCAGCACAGAAGGCAAGGGACAGGGAGGGGCCCCCGTCTCAGGCAGGGAGGGGCTGGCAAGCTACATCCACAGCAGGCCAAAGTGTCAGTGTTCTCCATGTCGTGGGGACCCAGCCCCTACCCGACCTCTCAGTCTGTCATTGGGGCTCAAAAGTAGCACAGACCAGGTGGACACCTGAGGCAGGGAGAGCACAGAGGACATGGGGCCACGTGGTGGCTGTGGCCTGGCAGCCGCACTGCCCAGCCCTGCTCTCCCAGGGGACACGCGTGGACGCGATGGCCGCAGGACCATCACCCCCAGCCCTGCCTGGAGCCCTCGGCCTCCGTGTGAAGTGCACAGCCCCGGCTCTTCCGCTTCAGGGACCACTTCGCTGGCCCAGTGCGCCCTCCACGGAGGAAGGAAGGGGAAAGGACCCGACCGCCACCACGAGTCCCTGCCCTCACAGGCCCCTCTGCGCCCCACCTTTGCTCTGCGGACACCGAAACTTCCCAGTCCCGAGCCAGTGCTGCCAGGCGGGAACTTCCTGCACCCGGGGCCCCTGCCCCGAAGGGGGGACATTTACGGCACATCCCGGCAGACTTGCTGCATAGAACGGCAGTGCGCAGTGAGGTGAGGCTGGCGGTGCAGTTCGGCTGCACAGAGGCAGGAGCGCAGATGGTGCCCGTGGCGCAGGCTCCTGGCCGGCCCGCGGCCTCCCCAGTGTCGCCAGCCACAGCAGCTTAGGGGTTTGTATCGAGCGGCTGTGCAATTGCTTTTCCTCGCGTAATTACAAAGAGCACCTGTGTGCGTCCGGGGGGTGTGGGGGGACATGCTCTGCAGAGCGCACCATGGGGCTGCGCTGACCAAGCTGGCCCTGTCTCCCCACGTCCCTGCCAGCCTAAGGCCACCAGCCAAGACGGGGCCGCTGGCACGAGCCCACTGCACTGGCAGGATAGCGTCACCCTGCAATGCTGGTGGCCCCTGGGCCACTGCAGAGACGTCTCCGGGGGCTCAACAGGGACGTGGGCAGTGGGTCTGGGAGGAAGTCCCAGCCTTGTGGCTTGGGATTCGAGACAGTCACTCCGTGACTGACCCCAGGCCTGAGGCCTGACCCCGGCCCCAGCCCCCAGGCCCAGCCCGACAGTGTGGGAGAGGGAGAAGCCAAGCAGAGCAGAGAGATCTCACTGCCAACCGCCACAGCTGCTACCGCGCCTCTTGCTGAGCGCAGGAGACACCCAGACTGGATCTGGCTGCCCCCTGCCGCAGGGCCGCCTGAGGGGGGTCAGGCTGGGAGGAGCCTCGCTGCACAAATCTCAGGGGGCCTGCCGAGCTGGCACCCACGGGGGAAAGAGAGCAGCAAACAAATCGGGCTATTTGTTTTCATCCCCTCCCTCCTGCCGCCATCATGTCCTCCCGGCCCGCCCTGCGGGTTCTGGCCTCCTGGGACGCGCGTGTCCCTTACTGAGGCCGATGTCCTGCCCGGCCCGACGTGGCATCCCCCCACCAGCACTGAGACAGAGACAGAGCTGCTCTCAGGGGTCGCAGCTGAGTCAGTAGCTTCTGATGGACAAACCAGGCACAAGAGGGAAAAGGGCACCCCACCCTGCAGGCCTGTGTGCACCCTGGGCCCACGTCCACCACACAGGACCCAGCGTCAGCCACTGTAGCGGGGTGGGATGCCCTCCTGGAGCCAGGAGGACAAGGAGGGTGGCCAGTGGCTCCAGGAGTGCAAGGACCCCTTTGGGGACAGATGGAGGAGGATGACAACTGGGACTTGGGGTACGTGTGGGGTGCCTCGAGCAGCCCACGCCATTACCCATGGGTCCTGCCCTGGCTACACAGCAGCCTCTGGCTGTGCCCTCTTGGGGGTCCTGCCCTATCCCTCAGCTCGACTGGCTGCCACCCCTTCCCAGGGATGCTGCTGCCCCTCCAGAAACCCCTACAACTGCAGCAGCTCCCCACAAAGTGCTCCTTGAAGAACTCCTGACATGGCTGCTAGCCACAGCTGCTGGTGCCAATTTAATTAATCAGCAGATGTGCCTGCTGGCATTCCCGGAACGCAGGAGAGCAAAGGCTGTCCCCGCCTCTGGTGGAGGCTGGGGAAAAGCAGTAGCAGCGGGAGAAGCCAGGCTGGGCTCCGTGTCACTGCCCCTCGACATCCCCAGCGAGACCCCAGCCTCTTGAAGGGAGTAGACAGCAGCATCTGGCTCCAAGGAGCCCCAACGAAAGGTGGAAGTGGCTCCCTGACGCCACAGGCCCCTTGTCCCCAATCTACCCTCCTTCGGACCTTGCCAAACAAAGAAACAAAGATGTTTTCTGCCAAAACACATGTGCTGACCCGCATTACATATATGTACCCCAAGGCCCCCGGACCCTGTCTGACATCAGGGTCAGGCTGAGGAAGCACGGTGCTGGCAGGACAGTCCCCGAGGCATCTCAGGACAGCGACGGGCTCAGACGTGCCAGGTATGCTGAGGACACAGAGTGTGCGGCCACACAGCAGGAAGCTCCAGTTATGAACCAAACTAACCAAGCGCCCAGAGACTCATCCAGACGCCTGTGAGGCGCTTCACCCCCAGGATTAAGCAAGTTCCACGCTGTTTGCTCCCCTGACCTCATCACTGAACACTAACCACTCAAGTCAGGGCACAGGTCAAGCCCAACTCGCCCCACGCTCTCTAAATAAACTTTTACTGTCACACAGCCCTGACATCCAACCACCCTGGGGCCTCAGCTGAATTTGCCCAGCAGCAGACTCAGAAGTCACAACAGAGACAGTGGCCTGCGAAGGCAGAAATGCTACAAAAAGCGTGCCGACCCCTGCTGAAGGCCTGCAGTAACCTGTGCAGCGGGACTTGCAGTCTCAGGACCCGGCTGGCGGCTGTCCCCATACCCACGGCGCGCTACTGCTCCCGCGGAGCCCTGCCCTGCACCACGCGGCCTCACACTCAGCCACCCCCGTCACTGCCCCTCGCAACACGGCCCGAGCTGATCCCTCACAGGGAGGGAGCTTAAACCACTGGGTGTCACCCACACAGGGCCCCGGGAAGGCGCCCACCCGGCTCCTTCACAGACCTGAGCCAGCTGCAAGTCCCCAGCCCGCAGAGCTCCTGCGCTCGGCCCAGGTCGTTTCAGTTTTGTTCCCATCGCCCTGAGCGCCCACACACAGAAGCGCGGAGACCCGGTCTCAAGGGACGGCCCCGCACTCCCGCAGCCGGTGCAAGCAGCAGCCACGCCGATGCCAATCCCAGCGAGCGACCTATGGGGACATGGGGATATGGGGACCCGGGCTTGGGAGGGTCGCGTCCCACAGACCCCACACAGCGACTGCCTCACCCAGAATGTTAGTTTCCCAGG